CCTGACGAGACAAGGAAACGTAAACTGAACACACTAAGATAACACAGACTTTCAAAGTAAAACAGGAAATACATGACAGTCACGGAAAAACAAAACACTGACAACACCGAAACGTAACACATGTTTTTTTTGTTTGTTTGTTTGTTTGTTTGTTTGTTTGTTTGTTTGTGTCATCCCCCCTCCCAGGGTCCAGGCGATGTGTAGCGGTTTACAGGGAAACCCATCAGAGGCTGTGAGCTTCACCACTTTAAGCTGTGAGCCAGATCCTCCCAATCCTCCCAAGAAGATCAGTGGGACCAAGAATTCTCTTTTACTTCAGTGGAAGGTAAAAGAAAAGACTGCCTGATGAATCTACAGTTTTAAAGCTGGACATTAAGAAGCAGCAAGAATGTATGAGATAAAAAAGCTTACTAAATATTGAAACTACGATTTCTTTTGTGTTCAGGAATGATAGTAGGTGATAGTAATAAACGATGCACACATATTTGCCCCTTGAGGCGGAATAATGACGAAGAGTTAAGATCCCTGCACTTTCTATGATTACCTGATAATTATAATTACCTTCCCTTCACATTTGTTACCATGCCCCCATCAGTGTTGTACCACTTCTGTGTTTTCATTCAAACTGTTCTATGGTGAGGATTAATGCTAGTGGTTGCACAGACTACTAGTTAGTTGAAATATTAAAAACCTTTTTTTGTTTGCTTTTTTTTTTTTTTTATATCTATAGGCTCCATGTGACAATGGTTCCAAAATTCAAAACTACATACTCCAGTGGGATGAGGTAATTTTTTATTTTTTTTTAATCTCTAAAGAATTGATATTTGTGTTCAACTAGTATTCCAGTTTCTTAAGTGAAACACTTTGTTCATTAAAGGGGAAGGGCACTGGTGTTTATGAACAGTGCTACTATGGACCTCAGAAGCAGTACAAAGTGACCAAGCTTTCTCCAGCTTCACGATACTCTTTCCGCCTTGCAGCCAAAAATGACATGGGTACAAGGTAGGTGCATTAACGTCCTATTATCTCCTGAATGGCACCCTCCCTGTTGTCCGTTATTATATTGCTGTTTCTTCCATCCACTGTCTTCATCCATGTGTGTCTCTCACTGTGTTTCTTCTGTCTCTCTCTCCCATTCTTTCCCATCCACCATCTCTCTCTGCCCTCCCCAGCGAGTTCAGTGAAGTGGTGGACCTGTTCACCTCATGCAGTGTGCCATTGCCACCCTTCCCTCCAGAGCTGGAGATGGCGGGGGTGACCTGGCTGTGTCTGAAGTGGCAGAGGCCTGCTAGCTCTCCAAAGGAGGATGACATCTTTTATATTTTGGAAATGGAGGAGGAAGGCTCGGTATGTCTCCTGCGTAAACCTAAAATTCTCTGATCATGTGAGATTGTATCTCATGTATGAAACAGCAGTATATGCAGACACTGTTTTCTGTAAAATATTATGTTTTTCCCATCCACGTGAAGTGCCTCCCGTTAATGCATACAGGCTTATCTTAGACTGTTGTGTTTCCAGTTGTGTTGCCATCTTGAGTTTGTGAAAGAGTATAAAATATGTACATTTTCCACATTTTGTTGTGCTTAGACTTACCTTAATTCTTTGTCCATTGTGTCCTACTTCCGTTGGTGTTCCTAAGATTCGTTCTGTGCCTAATTGAAATAAATTAATATTAAACAGATGTAACAGTTTGTATTAGGTCTCACAGTTGATGATGCCAGAGTTGGAAAACTAGGCAGTGAGGTCAAAAAAACATGCCCATAGACTTGCAAGAAAGGGTTGACTCAATCCATGGATGAAGGAAAGGATACAAGAACATTTAAACAGTGTTAAGTACTCGAGAGTAGATGGTCTCCATTGAAGGTGGTTTCTCGTGCCTTTTAAAAATAATGGTAAATCCATCCTTAATCCTTAATCACAAGAGTCACAGCTACCGGTTAAAGGTTTAAAGAAAAATTGGAGCAAGAGGGCTTGGTAAGACAGGTAACACAGAAGCCAATTGATTTTTTTTTTCTTTTTTTTTTCTAGGTTAAAAAGTTGACATATTTGTAGCTTTGTTGCTTTTGCCCCTCAAAACGTAGTAGGTGGCGTGAACCAGACGAAAGCTTCCGTAATCCCTGCAGCTATTGCTCCTGCAGACCACTTTGCTTTCTGTGCTACAGTGGTTGTCTTGAAAGCCATTGCTCACCTGGTTGTTTTCCTCCTCCCTTTGTCATTTGTCTTTGTCTCAGGGATATGGCTTCCAGACAAGCTACAACGGTGACGAACTCTCTTTCACCATTAGGAATCTCCACAGGAGCACCAAGTACAAGTTTAGGGTAAGGGAGCCCAAAGACTGACGTTGGTCCTTTTGGTTGTACTTTAATTTGAAATAAATGAAATCATATCTTTTAAATGAAAATATTAAAAGAATGCAGATCATAAATGTAGAACTTCTGAAATTTATGCTCAGGGATGCAGTGAAGCATTCCTGTCCAACTTTTTGGAAAAATGTTGAGGTTAACAAATTCTGAATGAGCATGTATTTATTTGTTTATTTATTTTTAAAGCTTCAATATTTGATATGTTGGCTTGGGAATTATTTGCTTATTATTATTATTATTAATAATAATAATAATAATAATAATAATAATAATAATATTATTATTATCAAGTGTCCCAATGATTTTTGAAAACAAGGTGGTGGAGTGTGTATGGAGAGGAACAGTTTTTAGGCGGGGAAGTTGCTGAGTTCAATGTTGACCCTGTGAGTCATCTGTTTTGCAAGATTCTGCTAGCAAAGCGGTGGGCAGCTGACAACATCAACAGGAAGAGCCAATGAGAACCTAGTTGTGCAAAGTGTTTGAGCTACACAAGTTTTTTGGGCCGGCAGTAATGTTAGAACCTTTGGACAAATAGTTGCCTGTGTCTTCTTCCCTATATATTTTTCTCTTTCACACATTCCCAGATTCCCAGTCTTTCCCATTCTCCCCAACATTATTAGTCTCCTATTTAATTTTTGAATGTTTACTAAAGAGTTTTGAGCTCAGAAAATGGGCAAAGATTAATAATTGGTTGAAATTAAACTGAAGATGTGACGCCTGCTTGAGATGTATGATCCATATCTTTATATAAAATAGTGTGTGTTCAATAAATCTGTAATATTAGTTTTTCTAAATATTTGTAGCGTGTTAGACGTCTTAAATGAGTTTTGTCTAAAACACAGTTCCATATCCTGTAAACGTTGTTTTAGTATTGATTACAGCAATTTGTAAATGCTGTTTAGCCTTGTTTGAGCAGGCCTGAAAGATATAGAGCCCACTTTTAAGAGGTTTACTGTGCCCTGTTAAACTAAACATTTCTCAGAGATGGCATCACCTCAGCTGTGACGTTAGTGAGTTCTTAGCTCGAATCCATCTTTAAAAATATCATTTTTGCCCAGCATTTTCGCCGCAGACATCCAGACGTTCAGACATAAACACCTTCCCAATTTCCCCAAAGCATCTTTGTGGTTGTTTCTACTACACTGGTTGTCCTCAGAAGGAAGTGGCGGGTTTCTGGTTTTGGTGCTAGAGGCAGCAGTGCTGATTGCCAAAACATATAGAAGACATTCTTTTAATTCAGGTGAACTGCTTTTGTGGTATTTCCTTTAAAAAAAAAAAAAAAAAAAAAAAAAAAGTTGATTACATAAGTTCCTCCATACGACTGTATTTAACAAGTGTGTCATATTCAGTTTAGCTAAGTAGCTGTACTCCTAAACTGCATTTGCACTAGATCACAGGTGTTCAGTGTGTCTCCCCTCTCATAATAACTGTTATTTTCCTGCAGCAAGTGACAGTAACAGGTGCTATTTTTCTGCCCTGTGTTTCAAGAGCAAGAAATCCAAATTAATAGACTGGTAATAGAATTTATAAGCTTTACTCACATGGCCATACAAATCCACACCACAGCATTGCTAAGCATGAAACTGTCAGAAAAGTATCACATAAACAAGCCGCCATATGGCTAAATGATAGAAATATTCATTAGCCATCTCAAGAAATCCTCAATTCCTCATTTCCAATTTTCCAGCTGCACATTGCGAAGGCAGGCTATGCACTGTGCAGGTTTGTTTGGTACAATACGTGGATGAACGCTGCTCAGCGTGCTCACAGAGATTTCAATATTATAGCAGAAGCGGCAGAGAAATGCAAATCCCAATAAAGCTTATTGTCTCATTTCATGATTGCCTTTTGAATTGAGAAGAATAAAACCTGTTTAGACACCACAAGCTCTGCAGAGTCATCTCTCTCATAATGTGCTATTTGCCTGAGGCCATTTTAGTTGCAGGCATACTGTTTACTTTGTCTCATGGATCTGGTTGGTGGTTATTATCAGGGAAAATAATGATCTTTATACACTTGGTCTCATTTACTACCTAGAGGGGGAAAAAGGATTAATTTCCTGATAGGCATTTATTATTTATTTATTTCTGCATTTCTGCACCTCCTCCAGGTGGCGGCATACAACTCAGAGGGCAAGAGCAACCCTAGCCAGGTGGTCGAGTTCATCACAAAACCAGATATACCTGGCTGTCCCTTCAAGCCTGTCATCAGAGGAAGAGTCCTGCCCAACAGCTTCAAAATGGCCTGGGGTAAGTTTTCTTCTAGTTGCCCTTTTGACTTATTAAAACCTTTCACTCTTCATGTAGTTGACAGCCTGGCAAGTCCAGTTTGCAAGTTCATTTTTTTTGACTGAGCTCTGCCTGGACTATGTGACGGATGACATCCCAGGCTGTCTGTACTATAGATGATTGACAATTCTCTTCTCTTCAGACATAAGCATGAATCCTTCATACGCACACCTCACTGGACAAACGCATCCATCACCGGTGTACGTGTCTGTGCTTCCAGATTTCAGAATGGCATTTAAAAAACATGTCTGCAGTTATGAAGATATTTTCAAATGTTTCTGTGCACTAAAATGAGTTTCAGAAGAAAAAACAAGGCAACATCCTTGGCCAATCATGCTTTAACTGAGATTATTCTAATGCCGAAATCAGAAATCAAATTTTGTAGATTCATAGCACACTTTTAAAATGAATTAATATATTTCAGGTGGATAAGTAGTCAACCCTTTTGGGGACATAATGATTTATATAGAAAAATAATTATTTTAATTATGTGCTTGTGTTAAAATTTAGAACCCCCTAAAGATGATGGTGGCTCAGAAATCACTAAGTATGTTGTGGAGCTTTCTGAAGGCACAAGTGGTAAGTTCTTCATGGTGACAGTAATAATTTACAAATTTAATAATATATGATTTCATTTATTGAAATAATTTTAATGTAATTAAAATGGTCTGTGCGTGCGTGTGTGTTTTTTGTTATGTTTTTTCCGCTTAGGCTCACCGTGGGGGCAGGTGTACTCGGGGCCAGCTCTGGAACATGTGTGTGAGGGCTTGAAGCCCGGCTGCTCCTACCAGACGCGAGTTTACTGCATGAGCGAGGGGGGGCAGAGCCCGGTGAGTCATTCAACGTCAGTACACGTGTGCACATGGTTGCGCACATAGCCTTGTGTTTCACCACAGGAATTCAGAGTTTGATGCATCAGTTACATATTTATTTGATTGCAGGGAGAAAAGGGAGGGTAAGATATGGCTGTGGTTTTTTTTGGGCGTTTTTTGTTTTGTTATGCTTTTTTTGTTTTTTAAATGATTTGCATACACATGGACTGAGATTACTGTTAGAAACATTAGAAAATGTAACAGACACTTATTTATCTTATAAAAACTTTCAGAATCACACTAGGTGTTGGCCCCTTTTCCTGTTGTTGTTATTATTATTATCATTATTATTATTATTTTGGTTATGAGTGATGCATTTCTGAGCTGTTATTCAAAGTGTTGTGAGTAAGCAGACAGTGATGATTTCATTAATTTGACACAAATGATTCTAGATATGCAATCTATTTATGGCAAGTTTTAATAGGAAATTGTCATTCAGTCAGTTGCTTATGTTGGATATTAGACTATGCTTCCTGGTGTGTAAGTACAAGACAAAGCCTGCTAATCGATTAACCCTCCCTGCATGTGTCAGAGAATGTTTTTCTTAATTAGTTCAGTTCACAGACGCTCTTCATTAATTTCTTCATCAGCTGTTTGTGCATGCATTTATTCAAGATGGAGCTGGTAAAGAAACATGAGTCATGGTGGCGAATTCCTGCTTTTTGGTGCAGCGCAATGTGACATAACACTCACATGGGCTTTTTTTTTTTCCTTTTGTCACAGAAGTTGAGTGTATAATTCACTTGTGAGGCAGTATGTCTAACTTTACCCATAAAGACAGCGTATTTTTCTGTATGCTCGTGTCCTTTGATCGATGCATTCACATTCGTCTCCTCTCCGGACTGCTGTAGCCTGAGTCGGTCTGATAAGCCGGTGAAAATGACAATCTGTGTCCTGTGTGTTTTGTAAGAGGAGAGAGTAAAGAGTGTGAAATTGTTATTTTCTGTGGGTTTTAATTGGTGTGTTGTCTTTACTTGCAAGCTGTCAGAGACCCTGCAGGTCCAGACTCCCGCAGTGCCCCCGGGGCAATGCCAGCCCCCTCGGTTGGTGGGCAAGCCCAAAGCCAGGGAGGTGCAACTGCGCTGGGGTGAGTCATTCCTCTCCAACTTAGATCTGTGTGGGATGCATCTCTGGCTTCTGTTGATGCATTTATTTGTCTTGTGAACAAACCTCAAAGCACTAATCTTTGATTGTACAGTTACTATTATTTTGCTGTTTGTGCATTTTAGCTTTGTTTATACACTGTTATTTTTCTTGGACAGTGCTTCTTTTTTTCTCCCAAAGTGTATTGATCTTTATAAATACTTGTTTGTACAAATTTCCTAGGTGTCCCTCAGGTAGACGGAGGAAGCCCGGTTTCTTGCTACAGTATAGAAATGAGCGGGCCACAGTCTGAGGAAAGCAAAGAGGTTTACCAGGGTCCAGAGCTGGACTGCTCTGTAGGAGGGTTAATGCCTGGCAAAACCTATAGTTTCCGGCTCAAGGCAGCAAACAAGGCTGGGGTGAGAGACTAATAATACTGAATAACACTGTAAGGGATTTAATTATTTTTTCCCAGTGTGCTTTGAACAGTCTCAATAAATACATTTTAAAAGTGTAATTTGGAAATTTCTGGTTGTATAAACTAGTTCTGTTCTTTTCATGTGAAAAGTTTGGCCCTCTTTCGGAGCGCTTTGAGGTTACGACTGGCCCCGGGGCCCCTGAGCAGTGCAAAGCTCCCTCCACCACATGCAAGTCCTCCAGCTGTGTTGTTGTGAGCTGGGAGGTAAGACTGGCTGCCCCAAGTAATGTGTTCAAAATTGAGTGTTGTATGCATCATACTCATTCATTTCTTGTTTGGGATCTAGGCCCCTCCTTGTAATGGAGCTCCGGTGACAGAGTTTCGTCTGGAGTGGGGAGCAGCTGAGGGTAGCATGCAGATTTGTTATAGTGGACCAGGCCTCAGTCATGAAATGAAAGGCCTACTGCCTGCAACCAACTACTTCTGCCGGGTGCAAGTGAGTGCTTCATTATTTCCGATTTTATTTCTCGATTTCTAGC